TGTTCCTCATTTGTACCAAACCATCTCAATCAAAGGAGCACTGGATGCAATGAGTTGCACTGTTAGTATGTTGCTGTAGTTAAAAAGTATTTGCTCACCCCAGGGGGCCAAGCAAAGGCTATTGACATGCTTGCTTGATGTATGAAAAGACAAATTAGTCCCCCATCCTATCTACCAGCAGGGTACAGTGACCCTACATGGAAAAGTCAACTCAAACCACTGTATAATATATTTACATTTTTTTTTCCTGGGAAACTTCAGAGTTACCAAATCAACTGTGTCTAGTGTGCAAATTGCATGCAAGCTAACAGAATGTGAATTAAATTCGGGGAAAGCCATGGTTTAGCTTGACTATGCGGATGGCACTCGTGGCTACAGTCTGTTCTGAAGGAATCTATGGTAGGTAGCCTGAGTGGGGAGCACAGGAAGAAAGGAGTTTAGACTAAATGACTGCTTATTACCCATTGCCTGTCTCCTGCCCCTTGTACATTCTCGGCAGTTTTCCAATACACTAAGCAATGTGAGAGAGTAATTTCTCTCTGTGTCACGGGAGTAGAGGGAGATCCCAGGGAGCAATGTTGGAGAGACAACTCAAAGTCCCATGGGTCTGTTTCTTGAGTTAAATAAACATAACATGTTTGGGTTTTTTTTTTTTTTAGCACCACATAAGGTGATTGGACTTACTATAAAATGAAGATCGTCTTATATTTGCCTTGCCATCCAGTTTGCACCAATCAGAAGAACACAATATTAAGTGGAGAAAGGCTATACCTTTCCATTATGTAGATCCTAATCAATACAAAATGAAATTTCTCCAAAGTTCTACTGTTAATTTGAAGGGATGGTTAAGAAATAATTTTCATGAAATTCTGTGAACATTTCGATAACCAACTAGCCACAGTTCTGCTGTAGATTGCAGAGAGGGGGTTACAAAAGATGGCTCTATTAAAGAGTGCCTTAAAACCTGTTCTTTCCTGGCAGTTGGCTTTTATAGAAGAAGGTCGAGGTCTCCAGGCCTCCAACTACTTATTGGAAATCTATTATGGTGCTATATTGTAACTCATTTTACAGGACAAATAATGTTATAATAATAATGGCGTGAGGGGCGCCTGGGTGGCTCAGTCGTGAAGCATCTGCATTTGGCTCAGGTCATGATCCCAGGGTCCTGGGATTGAGTCCCCCATCCAGCTCCCTGCTCAGCAGGGAGTCTGCTTCTCCCTCTTCCTCTGCCCCTCCCCCCTGCTCGTGCTCTCTCTCTCTCTCTCTCTCTCTCTAAAAAAGAAAAAAATAATAATGCCATGAATAATATAAAAGAACCAACCTAAACTTGTCCAAATCAAACACAAATAAAGCAAAATTCTTTTCAGGTCTAAATATCTATCTTTTAGGCACTCAGCAAACACTTGTGATAGACCTACTGTGTAGGAGACACTGGTCCTAGTTCTTAGCGGGCAAGTTTTGGAAGACTTGGTCACATTGGATTGGAGCTCTATTTATTTTTCCTATTTCAAGGTAGCATGAAGTCATGTCTGTTCATCAAGTGAAAGATCCCCATTCTTGGTTCCTGCAGTGTACTTTGAGGTGCAGAATTTAGTGGCAGCTGAATTTTAAACAGTCTTCCTAAGAGAAAAATCAGACAAGGGGTAAGAAAAGTGGTTAACTGAGAGTTTGCCCACTGGGCTGCTAGCCCTACTTCTACCAGCAAGCAACTGGGTAAATTTGAACAGGCATTTTTAACTTTTCACCTATTAAATAAGAGGGCATTCACGGATGGTTTTTAAGGTCTCTCCCAGCTCTAAAATCTAAGAAAGTGAAGTGAAAAGCCATGCGAGGAATGTTGAAAGTGCTAGACAAATGTAAAAAGTGAGGAAGAAGAGGAGGAAGACTCTGGGCTCAGAGACTTTTGTCCATCCCCATGTCTATCTCCCTTTAGTATACCTGCGTTCGTGCCTTTTTTTGGACTGAGAGATGAGGGCCAAGCATCCTCAGGCCTGGCGCTGGGCGGGCTGCCTGCCCTCACCCTCCTTCCACTGTGGTGCTCAGAGTTCTCTCCTGAATAAAAGTGAAGCTAAAGAATGGTGGAGCTCAGAGGTCCCTGCTCGCTCCGCCTCCCTGACTGCCAATGTGCTCTCCGAGAAGCGGTGGGATGACAAGGCAGACTTTGAACCAAATTCTACCTCCACTGTTAACCACGTCCAGTATTCAAGTTCCTCTAGAGAAAAGGACATCAGAACAGTTCAAAAGAGTGTTTGTTAGGACAATTAATCCAAGAAGAGTATGGAAAGTACTCATACACAGCGGTGGGTAGCTCCCCAGAGCGTTACTGGTATAGTTGGGGCTCAAAGCATGCATCCCGCCTGCCACACCCTCTGACCAAAGCCACATCCCAAAGCCACCACCCAAACCCTCACTGTAGTTATGTAGGAGTGTGCATGTCTGGGGGTCACCCACTCTCATCCACCAAACACTGTTTGGCGGATGCAGCAAGCAGCGTGTTGCTTCTTTCTTAAAAAGTGATTTCCTCTGCATGGTTTCACTAGATTTTCAAAACCAGGCTCCGAGGCAGGTAGAGAAAGTCTTGTTTTCAGCTTGGCTCTCGGGCCACTGCCTTACACCATTCCCAAGGAGGGTGCCTCCCCGCTGAGTCCCACAGAGCAATCCAGGGAGGTTAAGTGAATGGTCCAAGGTCACACAGCAGAGGAGGAAGAGATTCTGATCTCCAAGTCAAGTTACGACCCCAAGTAGTTTGTGCCTTCCCCTCCACCGAGTGACCTTGAGTATAGTGCACACAGAAAGACTGTGATAGAATCAGATTCTCAGTGTCAGACTTTCCGTCCACTACTAGACTCTGGGGTACCTGGTGGAAGATCCCTTGAGGGCACTGGGGGGATGTGATGTGGCACATCATGCCTCAGTCTTGCTCTAGATGTGTATACTTGGGCCATTATATTATGGAAAGGAAATGCCTGAATAAGCGAGCCAAGCAGGCTGTGGAGACAGCGGCCTACGCCTCCTCGCCGCCATTAAGACTGGCTTACATGAATATTCAGTAGCCGGCACCCCTAAAAAATCTATTAATCTCCCACCTGTGTTGTCATCTTATCACAATCTGTGGTCTGTGCCAAAAGGTACATTGCAGTATTAAAGGAAGACTTGGAGAGAAGTGACAACAATATTAAAGTGCTGCCATTGGACTCGCTGCAAAATGCCAGTGACTTTCTCATATTCACTAATCCCCAAACAAAATAACCATCAAGAAATATTAAAACACACATTTTATTAGTTTCATTTAATTTCTTAATTGCTCAAAGTCAGTTTACCCATTTATTGCTGTGTGAAATGCTTAGAGGCAAGGCGCACATTAAAGGGATTATTTCCATGTAATCCCTCCCTCCCAGAGGGTAGGAACTGATCACTTATGAATCCTGATTTACGCTCTGTAACAGTATCAAATGGAGGAAATAGTTATTGTAAAATGATAGAGTCAGTAGTCGGGTAATACGGTAGGAGAGTGTAATTTAATAGCAAAGAGAAAGTACCTCATTTTCGGTAAAAGTTATGCGAGCCTTTTTCAGGAAGAGCTATTAACCAAACTGAATTTAGCCTCCCATTTTTCTGGCTCTCCCTCTGTTAATTGATAGATGTTGAAGATGTGTAGCCTGTTACGATTTTAATCAAATGGTGTCTGGGAGTAGATGTGATCATTTTACTGGGACTTGGAGTTCTGGGGATAATAATTGCTCTGGGTATTATGCTCTCTGTGACAGTTTGCCCACTGCCAGTCTTCCTTCTTGGAAGAAAAAGAGTGCAGGCTCTCAGATGGAATTTGGAGGGATGCTGCACATTACGCAGGAAAGGGAGAGGAGGTAGGAAGGAGTGCTAGGTAAATATCCAGCAAGAAACTTCTGATAGTCTGAACTTCTGGCACTGGGGTACATCAGAGCTGGCCTGAGACCATTGAAACTCCTACCCATCAGGGACCTGGGAAAGAGCTTTTTCTTGTTTTGTTGTTGACACACCTTTCCCGGTCGTAGTACCTTGAACCCAGCATTATTTTAGGAGCATTATTGCTCTTCTTGGAAGGAGGTAAGAATTATACCATCAGAAGAGCACAGAGATAAGGCCAGTCCCTTAGACAGCAGGCAACCTAGACAGGGGCCATGCCTGACAGCCTGGAAATAGGCCTGCCTCCACTGCAGGCTGACCCTCTTCTGATATTTGATATTCTCTCTCTACCTTTAGAATCCGCCTGATACAAAGAGTATACCAAATAAAACATTTTTTTCAGGCCCTCAAGGAGATTTGTACCATGTATCTTATTAGATTGAAGGCAAAACAAGCTGATACTAGCAGGAAAAAAAAATGGCTGGTTCAGACCCCAGCTGACCTCTTTTGCATGGAAAATTCTCCATATGATTACCGAGCTAATGAGTAATATTTAATGAAAACATTATGCCTTTGCATATATTTGTAAGCAGCACTTCTTTCGCCTAAATTTACATAGAAATAAGCTGATATGTATAAATACACATCTTGGAATTTGGTGTATTCTAAGGAAAATACTCATCTGCTATCTCCGGCTGTTTCTATACAAAGCCCAAACTTCTCAATAAGAAAACCGTAGAATTCAGTCAATCATCCGGTTGACACGAAACATGCAAGTATTTGATGATGCATGGACAAAACAGCTGAACGCCAGGCAGGCTCCTCCACATTTCACAGAATGTTTTGGCTTTATGCAAACAACGCTGTATGAGAAAAAAAAACTGGGCTAAACAATTGCTAAATAAATACGTACCCCCCCACCCCACAAAAAAAAAAAAATCTTTCAACTCAAAGAATCCTTTGGCATTTAAGGATAAAGACTCAGAACTAGGATCGTTGCTGGGGTCTGTGTCTATTTCCCTTCCTGCTCCAGATCTGAATCACAGGGGTGCTGAATTTGAGAACAGAAGAGCCGTTGACACCTTTCTCTCCCACCCTTTCTCTTCCCCCTCTAGGTGGAGCTGACAGGCAGTAGCGTCTTTGACTATGTCCACCCGGGGGACCACGTGGAGATGGCAGAGCAGCTGGGCATGAAGCTCCCGCCCGGGCGGGGTCTCCTCTCGCAGGGCACTGCTGAGGACGGAGCCAGCTCTGCATCGTCCTCCTCCCAGTCGGAGACCCCTGAGCCAGGTGGGAATTGCAATCCCAACATGTGGGATGGTGGGCAGGACCTTTGACAATGACTGCACTCGAGTTGCCAGTGTGAAGAGACTATAAATAGGTCTACTGGTATTTAACAATTCCACGCAGCTTTCTGTCCATGCAGTAATTAAATAAGGAAGAGATTTGAAAATAAGGAGACAGTTTAATAAGTATAATCCAGAGATCTAATTTCAGTTGAACAATACATAGAGGAGGTACTAGTTCTTTTAGTTCCTCTTTCAAATCACTAGAGGGAAAGGGTTCAGATTTGGAAAGCCCTCTCCTTTGTATTGTTACTGTGGCTAAATGCAATGCATTTATTTATTATTCACCAAAATCTATGATTAAGGCTTCTTGAATATTAGCTTGTAGATAATTAAAAATATTAGGGACTTGCAGAAATCTTGGTTTCTTTCTTTTTTTTTTTTTTGTAAGCATCAGAAGGTACTTGAAAGATGTGAACAGATAAATTAAGGCTAAAAAGAAAACAGAAATGGCTACATTTTAAACTGCCTTTCCACCCTCAGTATTTAATTAGATCAATTGTATAGAGGAATGAACAGAGGTGACATTCCTCATTGGGATTCCTTCCAGGACTCTTATAGACTTTGCATTCAGAATGTTCCCATTTTCATTGTGTTGTACTGATGATAATTTAAGTATTAGGGGAAAATCCATTTATAAATTAAACAAAATGACTTGATATCCATCAGTCCCCTAGTTCATCAAGCTGTTCAAACACGGGGAAGATTGGCTGGTCGGCCTGGGTCTTCCGAGAGCGCTGGTAATTAGATCTGCGAAGGATTTATTCTTTGCTGATTGGGGCTTTAAATTAATTGAAGTTCCACATTTGTGGTTTTGTCCTTTTTGTACTTTTTTAGAGGAGATATTTCATATTCTTGTGTGGTGGAGTGCTTGGCCAAGCAGCAGTGGTTTAAATGTTAATTTTTCTCATGAGAAGTTTAAGATTTTTAATGAATCAGGGCCTGATTTGAAGTGCAAAGTTTTATTTGCTTACTTGGAAAATTATTTTTGCACTCTTTAAAGATGCTTGTACTTTACTTGATATGTTGTTTTAAAACAGATTTGCAACACAAACTCATTTTATAGAAAGAAAAGTGGAAAAAACCTGTCTTAAGATTAATACTAAAATGATCCTAAGAAAATACTTAAAAATAATCACAGTATGTTTGCTCACACAGATGGGAAAAAAAAACATATTTGCCTTTTTGGAAATATTTTAATTCCATCTAAAACCAATTCATGTTTCCTCGTGTAAGTTAACTGCCCCTTCTAGGGCATAATTCTGCAACATTTGGTGAGCATCTTTCTCCAGTGAGCACCAGGCATGAGAAGACAGAGTATTTAAGACTACTCTTTACCATTTAAAAATGAAAATAATTTTGTTCCCGGGGAAGTCTTATCTTCTACTGTTGCTCACTGACTTCGCTGAATAGATATGTCAGTGAGATCATTGAAACTGCATTTTCATCATGAAAATATTCATATCTGGGCAGATTTGAGAAACAGCACATGAAAATAGTTTTTACTCTTTCCTGGATTAGGGAACCTGGATTGCTCATACTCCTCAACACTCAATGTATAAGAATTCAAGTTTATAAAATGCTCGTTGTTTCCCTGACTCACAAACTCTCAAGTTTAGATGATCTCCAACCTTCAACCAGGGAAGCCAACCCTCTATGTCAAAGCCCACAGCTAACCTTCCAGCAGAACTACCCCACTGGGAAGTTCAGAAACCTCAAGGCTGCCCGTTCCATTGGCCAACAGCTCTGAGAGAGAAGTTCTCTTTAATATGGAGCCAAAATCTAAGTTTGCTGCAATTTCTCCTCACGATCCCAGGTCTGTCCTCCGGGATCTCATTTCAGCTCTACTCCTTCCTCTCCATCCTAGCCTCTCAAATACATGAAGTCAGATATACAAAATTCTCCCTCCCTCCTGCCTTCCTTCTCCTTTGCAGGTCAAAGAGCCCTTATTCAATGGCATGTTCCTGAGAGCCCCAGCCATTCCTCAGTTTGTTAGTGACCCTCTAAGAATATGGTTCTGAGAACTCCCGTGCAGCCCTCTGGATGTATTCAGACTAGTACAAAGCAGAGGGACTATCTCCTCTCTCAGTGACCAGATCACACTGTTGATTCATATTGAGCTTGATGTCTCCCCAAACACATGTTAAGGGTAACTTGTCACTTGGAAAAGACTTTGGGAGAAAAAAATCCACAGCCTGTAAACCAGTTCTGCTGGGATATCGTAAGCTAGAGTCAAAATCAAACTGGTTTAAGATTGATTATAAGAACTCTGGTCAATCCCGTGCCTTCCAGGAGGCTCCACAATGCATAAAACAATTCTAGGCACACTGTGAGGAGAATGGCGTATCTCCTTTAAAGCTACTCTGTCATTCAGTATTGTAGTATGGTTGACAATTTACTTGGGTTTCTTTCTCCTGCCCTCCCAGCCTTCCTGGAGCCATCATAACGAGTAAAATTGGAAATTCTGCTTTCTACATTTCTTAACCACTGGGGCTCATTAGCAACAGTGGCATAAGGGTTTCTCTTCCTTGATGAAGAGTATAGCTCTTACCATTACAAAATGTGAAAATTACTTTGCCTTAAAATTCTGTAGCATTGGTTATTTTCAGTCTTAGGCTTAAAAGGCAATTAGATTGACTGCTTTAAATACTGAAAAGCAGTGTAGGGTGCTACCTTTAACTAAATATCTTCACTAATGCATATCACTGCTCCAAGGGAGTTACTTAAAAAGTTCATGTCAGGCACTACATCCCAAAGCTGCTTATGTTTCTTAAAGGCTGAAAGAATTTTAACAAGATTTCCTAATTCTTAATAATACGAGGGGACATTTTTGAGGACTTGTTCATTGCAACATAATCTTTTAAACTCTGATGAAACACAGATTCTTTTTTAAATAGTAGTGTAATTTTGTTGGAAAGGGGATATCAGTATGTGGTGATTATGAAAATGGAGGTATGGACTTTTTCAGAAGTCCTGATGTGTTCAGTGTAGCATTACTAAATGACTGAAATCTAAATAACATTTGGCATTATAATAAAAGGAAATAAGTGACTAAACCAGCCTAAGAGGCAGTGATACTGTGCCATAATAGGAATTCTCTTTCTCTGAACTGCCAGCCCTGTGATTGTCTTGAACCAGTCTCAAGATAATGGGAGGGGGGGGGGGCAGGGACTCTCTTAACTGTTGAAAGTCCAAATAAATCTTTTACACATATGCCTAGTTATTCATAGTTTAGTAAATACTACTGTATTCCTTTTAGAGAAATCTTAAAGCAGGCAGAAGAAAAATACATGGGTGGCCTTGTTTGTAAAGTTATAAAGTTCTAGAGTGTCTGTGGAGGTTCTAACCATTTTGGAAGAGACTGTGCTGTCCTGTAGGCTCCTGCACCAGGGGGAGCACAGAACCTCTGGAACGGGATGTCTGGGTGGCCCCTTTTCTAGATCTGCATATATCTTTTCATTACTCTTAATGATTCTGTAATCTCGGGATTATGAGTGCTATCCTCTTCTCTTAATAAATTTCAGTGCTGCATCTTTAAATGCTTAATAAATAAAAAAGCAGCTCTTTAAGAAATCCTGGAGGAACTTTAAAAATCTCCTGATATTCCTTAGGTTAGGTCATAAAATTGGGCTTTACTCCTTTTTTATTTCTAATTCTAAAATTAATTCATTCTTATTGTGAAAACTTTAGAGAATGCAGAAAACACAGAATAAAGACCACCAAACATCCCGCTACCCCCAAATGACCACTGTTCCTATGTATATACTCTATGCCTATCCTTCCAGATTTTCTGTTCCTATATATATAGGAACATATACATACTTATATATATGTATGTAGTATTGGGGAGGGGGTCATTGTCTGTTTGTCTGAAATAAGATCATAACATACAGGCTTCTGCCTTTCCACTTAACCTCACAAGCAGCTTTCCCTGTCATGTTTCTCACTTTAAGATTTTTTTTATTTATGCCTGACGCGGGGCTCGATCCCAGGACCCTGGGATCATGACCTGAGCCAAAGGCAGACGCTTAACTGACTGAGCCACTCCAGTGGTTTGTTTCCCACTAGCTAACAATCAAGTCCCAACTGTAGGAGCACTGGCAGGAGTCACACACCTGGGTCCTGCTTCAGAGGGAACTCAGCCAGGACAAGAGGTTCTTGCAGCTTATTGAATGGGTACGAGCTCATAGAGAGAGAAATCAATACTGCACCAGGATTTAGACAACTGAGCAAAACGTATGAGACAGTACTTTTGGTCAAGAATAACTACAGCAGCATGGCTCACCACTGATTGTCTAAAATAAAGGTTATCATGCTCCGTCTAAAGTTTCAGACAGACCTGCCCTGTTACGGGGTGGGGGGGGGAGGGGGGCGGGGAGCGGTGAAGGTAATCACTGTATAGTATGATCTTAATGCTATTATGCCCACTCTATGTCCTGAATATTTTAAAGACAAACAAAACTGAAGCCGTCGAGTCCTTGTCTGAATGGAAATAATCTGCATTTTCTACTTACGCGTCTGTGCCGTGGTAAATTTGATCAGCACTTGATTCTACAGGAACGCAATTCCTCTGAATTCATTAGCCAGTTCCATAATAAGTGATATAATTAGATGCATAAATGTTTAGGAATAACAATAAAGAATGTAAAAATTTATCTGAGGATCAGATCATTATTTTGTTTCAAAAACTGCTGAGATACACTTGTACCTTTAAGGGTGAATTATCTACCATCTAGTATAGGGTGGGTGGGGGTGGGGGATGTTGATTTTTTTTTTTTATTGGTTCAAGTTTCCTATCAATGAACTGAATTTAGAAGTCAGGCAAGGGAAACCATCTTACTAACCCCACATCCAACCTCGGCCCCCAGACAATGTGACTGTATCTACAGCACTTTCTGCTGTACTGCAAATGTCAAACAGAAGGTGTAATGGATTTAATATTAG